TCTCTGAGTGAATAATTGGGAGCAATTCCTAAGCACTGCCAGATGTGGCCCAACTATAATAAATAAATTAAAATTTAGGACACAGTAAATAAACTTAATAGCACATAAGAATGGGAATTGGAAGGCAAAACTGAAGGAGTTACTTAAAATGCAGATAAATAACAAGGGGGCGAGGGAAACACAGGAGAAGTTGAGAGATGGAACAAGAAGTTTAACATGCATTTAGTCAAAATCCCAGGAGGAGGGGCCAGAGAGATAGTACAGCAGGTAGGGTGCTTGCCTTGCATGGCTGGCCTGGGGTTGCTCCCCAGCATCCCATCCTGAGCATGACCAGGAGCAATTCCTGAGTGCAGAGTTAGGAGTATCCCCTGAGCATTGCCGTGTGTGCCTTCCCCAACCCTCCTCCCCCCGCCGAAAAAAAACGAAAAAAAGCCCAGAAGGAGATATAAAAAATAGAACTAACATTTGAAGTAACCTATAGACCTTTCATTAACAATTAGCAATTTGTAAGATTAAATAAATAAATAATAAAATAAAGGCCCTCCCGTTGATCATCGATTTGCTCGAGCGGGCCCAGTAACGTCTCCATTGGAGACTTTGTTGTTACTGTGTCTGGCATATCGAATACTCTCGGTAGCTTGCCGGGCTCTCCGAGAGGGGCGGAGGAATCGAACTCCGGTCGGCCATGTTGGCTGCCTGCAAGGCAAACGCCCTACCGCTGTGCTATCACTCCAGCCCTTGTAAGATTAGTAAATTGCAATATATATCAAAATATGTTACTTAACATTATTGATCAGAGTGTATAAATTATAACCAATATGTGGTACTACTTCACAACCATGAAGAGAGAAAAAAATGAAGAGTTTGAAATCCATTTAAGTGAAAACGGAAGATAGTGGGAACTCTCATAAACAGCAGACTGGAGTGTAAATCAGTACAATTACTTTTCATCTAAAAATATTCTGTGGATAGTGAGAACTTTAAAATGTGGAATAAATCAGAAAATATTAGTCTATTCATTAAATCCATAAATATTTACAGAGCCACCATGTAAGGAATTATGTTACAATTCAAAAATTGCAGTCACAACACAGAGGAGCTTAACACTGAGGACCTGAGGAAATCAAAGTCCACACAGATAGACACTGTAAGATTTCTACAGTGAAAGAATGCCTGGAGAAGGGCTTGTTGTAGTGGGAGTTAGCTGTGGAGGTCAGCGGAGGCTTCCTTGAGGAAGTTATGACTGAAAAAAACCCAAAGGGAACAGGAGCCGAGGGACCAGAGAGAGAGAGAGCACAGGGGTTAAGGCATTTGATTTGTCTTCTGCCCAACCCAGTGTTATCTCTGGTGCTGCATATGGTTCCCTAGGCACTGACTGATAAGGGTCACTCCTGAGTACAGAGCAAGGAAGAACCTCTAGACACTGCTGGGTGTGGCCCAAGCTATCCAAATTTTTTAAAAATTAAAAGCAAGAGCCTGGCAAGCTACCCGGCAGAGCCTGGCAAGCTACCTGTGATGTACTCAGTGTGCCAAACACAGTAACAACAAGTCTCATGATGGAGACGTTACTGGGCCCGCTCAAGCAAATCGATGAGCAATGGGAGGACCGTGACTGTGAAAAGCAAGAAAAGAAGATGAGAGTTGAGTGGAGAAGTTGTGGTGGGGGCTGCTCAGATTGCTACTGATTGGAGGAATGGAGGAACCTGGACAAATGTCCTGCTGTTGAAGAGTACTTAGTAGCAGGAGCTGGAGGGAGATAAAAGCCAGTGGCTGGAATAAGAGATGAGAGAACTTAAGAGAGACAATGGTGAGGGTAGTGCAGATGTTAGCAGATTAGCCAACCTGGAGAGGTAGGCACCAGCAGGACACGAAAGGATGGATTTGTAGGTCATAGAAAGCATCTGGGCTTTTATAACGAGCAACAGAAAGTTAATGTGTTAATAAAAGTTAATATGTTCTTTAAACAGGGACTTGACTGGATCCCTAAAAGGAAGGAACAAAATGAAAAAGAAAATTGTTGTACTCACCAAGGGGACATTAAGTTCTTGTCTGAGGTTTTACTAAGCTGTCATTGCAAGTTAAGCTTTCTGTGTTAATGTTTTTGTCAGTCAATATTGGTTAGCTTCTGTGGTACATCCCTTCTGATCTAGTACAATTTTCACAAATTTTTTCTACAGAAATAATTTTTTATAATTCTATTAGTCATGTAATAGTAAAAAGCAATATAAAATAAGTCGTTGTTGGCCTGCTACTGGGGCAATCTTGAGGGGCGGTTGGGAAAAATGAGACAATGGGGGAAGGAAGGTGACAGTAATAGTAGGATTGGTGTTGGAATGTTGAATACCTGTAACAAATCATCATGAACAACTTTGTAAACCACAGTATTGAAAAAAAAGTGGGAAAAAAAAAAAACAATTGCCCCACAGCAGTTCTTTTTTTTTTAATAAAGAAAAGACCATCCATGAAATTTAAATTCAAAACTTCTGCTAGGAAATGGGGGAAGGATACTGGTTCCCATACTTTGGAGCTCACTTAAATGTGACTTAACCGAGAATAGCCTTATTCCGGGCTCTGTTCTGCCACTGACAGGATAGCCCAGAGGGCGCCTGATTTGTCCGTTCCTGTCCCCCACCCCCCCTCACCTCACTACAGCACAAGGGATTTAAGTCTAGCTGGTGATTTACTTGATGATACAGGAAGCATAATTGAAAACGTTTTACTGCTTTGCAGCCAGAGGAGATGATTTCCCATTGTTGTGAGTAAAAACCTATCTATCAGTAAATGAAGCAGATATGATTCAAAAGAAAGAAAAGAAGGCTGGAAAGCACAGTGTATTGTGTCTTTCCTGTTTATGACTGCATTCATTACACAACATGAACCACAGGAAGCCATACTCCCATTCTGAAGCTTATAGTATGCTAAACTATTTCTGATTCTGTCTGTGGTCATTTAAAGCTCAAATTCCTTTCCCCCCAACAACTTCATTAAGTTATCATTTTAATACGTAAATAGTCAACATTCAAAGTGTATAATTTGAAAGTTTTGAGACATATGTCCGTTTGTACATGCAACCATCACATAATATCAGATTTATAATAAAAAAGACACAACTGTTCTACCCCAAATTTCATTCTGCCCATCCCCACTTGTTCTTCCTCCACCCAAACAACTCAACTTAAAATATAACTATTTTTAAGTACTAAAACAAGTTTAACCAGAGGTTGAAAAAAGATTGTACCTTGAAAATGATAACACATTATTGAAAGAAATGTACGAAATTACGATGTAGAAAAATTGCCTGTGCTCATGGATTGGAAGTATCAGTGCTGAAATAACGATATTGCCTAACAGTAGTTTGAATGCAATTTCCATCAAATTCCTAATGGTGTTCTTCACAGAATGAGAAGAAAAGTCAAGAAATTTACTTGGAAATTTACAAAAGACACTAAATAATAAAAACTATACTAATAAAACTAACAAAAATTGAAGCATTGTGTCCACAACTTCAAGCTATACACCAAAGCAAAAGTAATCAAAAAGAGCATGGGAGTGGGTAAACACAAACACACAGATCAATCGAACAGAACTGAGAGTTCAAAATTAAATTCACACACATATGAAAAAGTTTCATTTCATTTCATTTCATTTCATCATCCTGTTAATCGTCGATTGCCTCGAGCAGGCCCCAGTAACGTCTCTTTCATCCTAGCCCTGAGATTATATTCAGGGCTCTTTAGGAGAATGAGACCCATCATTGTTACTGGTATTTGGCATATTTGGTAGGCCACGGGGAGTTTGCCAGACTCTGCCCTGTGGGCAGGCTACATTCGACAGCCTGCAAGTTTGTCCAAAGTAGGAATGAGATAATAAGATGTCATAAAGAAAAGTTCTGATAAGATGTCGGGATCTGGATTTTATAGTCTCTGAGTCTTGGCCGCTGATGGGATTACACGGCGCCAGGGGGCCAGGTGGTGGGTGTGACCCCCGCCTACTGGAATTTGGAGGATCTGGGTGGAAGATGCTCGACTCCAATTCGAGTAGGCTTGGAGGTCTCGGCCCCGGAACCCGCGTGGCTTTGTCCCTCTGCCAGTACCTTCAGGTGTGTGAAAAAGTAATTTATGATAAAAGAGTCAAGAATATACACTAAAGAATGGAAAGTCTCATGTAAATGGTGTTCAGAAAACTGGACAGCAAAATGAAAAAAAAAAGAACCAATATCTGACACACTAATTTTAAAACTGATTAAAGAAAAACTTAAATGTAAAGCCTAAAACTATAAAATACTTTAAAAATACAGTTGAAGTCCAATTTAGTTTTAGAATTGACCTTGGGAAGTTGGAGGCATAGTACAGTGGGTAAAGTGCTTGCATTGCATGCAGCTGGCCCAGGGTTTGATCCCCAGCGTCCCATATGAGTACCACCAGGACCTCAGAGCCAGGAGTAACCCATGAGCGTTGCTAGGTGAGAAAAAGAAGAAAGTGACTTTGGTGTACTGAGGGAGTGGGAAGATAGCTTAAAAAGCTGGAGTACATACGCTGCTGCTAGATACAAGGGTTGAATCCTGGCACCTCCTGGTTCCCTGAGCACAAGTAACCCTCAACCCTCAAGCACCAATTTAGGAGTAAATATGATTATTATGTTCACACTATCATAATTATTCAGAAGATAGTCGCTCTATAGAGAAAGTTTCCTCAGGAGTCTCTCTCTCTCTGTCTCTCTCTCCCCCCGCCACACACACACACACACACACACACACACACACACACACACACCCAACCCCACTCCCCAGAGCCTCAATCCAAGAGACCATGCTCTCTACCACTGAGTTATATCACCTTCCAACCCCATCCTTGGAAGTTTAAGTCTTAGGAATAATCAAATTTTTCTAAAAATGCCATGAGTGGAATTTGTAATTTGTTGCTAGGAAAGCTTTTTCAATGTACTCAACTTCTGCCATTATCCCAATCAACATTGGGATAATGTTCACATCTACCTTTCAGATCTCTTTTATGAGGAAGCAGAAGGAATGGTTTCTACAGGGGACACCTCTGTTCAGAGCATTGAACTTGTCCTCCCACCCCACGCGAATCATCATGGAAATACATTTGGTGGTCAGATTATGGCTTGGATGGAAGCAGTGGCCGCTATTTCTGCAAGGTTCTTATTTTAATTTTCAGCTTGCAATGTTGGATCTAGTGGAAAGTCTAGAAGGGTCTGAGACTAACCATTGGGCCCATAAGAGAGAAAGATGCTGACAATATGGCCCTTTATCAAAATGAAAAAGCAATAAGATATTATCTTGGTTTAAAAAAATAATAAAAGGACAATTCCAAAACTGTATTCTGAATTATGGATGTTGATCTTATATCACTGCTACTGATTTTTATACTACTATAACAAGGTAAATGCGGAAGAGCAAGATTCTTAAAATGAGTCAATTTGCAGACTTTTTAAAAGGTGACTTATAATTAGGTTTGTCCTCTAAAGGTATCATAGCCATGGCCAAGGGATTAGCTGAAAAATCAGTAGGAATGACTGAAAGGAATAGTTCAGAAAAACATTTTATAGAGAACACTGTTCTTGGCAGGGGTGTGGAGCTAAAGGCTCAGTGCTCTGCCAGACCCAGCACTGTGGCACCAAGGCAGGCTGTGTTATGGCTACCACGACCACACTCAGTAGAGCCTGGGGCTTGTGGTGCCAGGGTTCAAACTTGGGGTTTGAAACATGCCAGGCTTGTGCTCCACCTCTCAAAGTCATAGTACCATGCCCCTGGGATTACTTTGAGATGCTTCTCCATTTCACAAAAGAAGGTTGGTTGTTTTTGATTATTTTTTTTTTTACTCTAAATGGCAGCACATAGGCTAATTGAGCACTTTAAAGAGTGCCGAGTCCTATGGCATGCATCTGAATAGTATCTGCCCTTCTGACAATTTTCACAACTACTAAAAATTGTTAAGGCTTTATTTTCTCCAAATTAAAAGAAATTTTATTATTAACATCGATAATGACTATAATTAGAAACCTGTAGTTATCCTTCCTATAATTTGAGCACAAATAAGGAAATCTGTTTTTAGAATGAGGTTGTCATTCTTAACGACAACAGAGCTTTGGAGTCGGTTCCCTTGTAAAGTTTACAATATAACTAAGTGTGGCAGAGTCTGTTCACTTAATGTTGGTGCAGTTCTTTAGAGATTAATTGAATGACTAGAGTAGGAAACAAATGTAGAAAATAATGGAAGCAACATCCTGAGATTGCACATTCTTTATAAATATCTAAAATTTCGCACACAAAAAGACTAAAATGTGTGCCTTGCAGCCTTTTCAGATTTGGAGCATCAATGAAGGTAATTTTTCTGTGGGGGAAATATTACTCTTTTGATGTGTGAGCGAATGCCATTAACTGCAAAACTAAGGAACTTATATAAATGGCACCAGCCCGAGGTTGACTCACCAGACTCTGCTGTACCATGTGTCACAGCTTCCTGTGATGTCAGTCGTGAGCTGTCTGGATGATTATGCAACCCAAATCTAAACAAAAGACATTGCTTTAGTTTTGGCATCTTGCTAAAGACTCCAGGACTTGAGGACATAATACCATCCAAAATAGCTGCTGGTAGTGTACAGAGCCATTCAACAGATGCATTTCTAATATCCTTAACTTAAAAAGATAACTCTTTAGAGAATTTAATGAGGATTAATCTGTTCCAATAGCACAACGGTAGGGCATTTGCCTTGCACGCAGCCAGCCAGGCCGACCCAGATTCGATTCCTCCGCCCCTTTCCGAGAACCGGGAAAGCTACGGAGAGTATCTTGCTCACACAGCAAAGCCTGGCAAGGTACCTGTGACGTATTCGATATGCCAAACACAGTAACAACAAGTCTCACAATGGAGACATTACTGGGCCTGCTCAAGCAAATAGATGAACAATGGGAGGACAGCGCTACAGTGCTACAGGTCTCTGTTACTTTTCCAGTTTAACCTCTCTCGGGCTGGCTTTACTCCAGCCTTGCCAGGGCAATAAATCTGTTGCATTCATTAAAGAAAAGGACAGTTCCTGCAAGTATTGGGGTAGATGATTGCTTTGTTTGCTTTGTTTGTTTGGGGGACACACACATAGCACTTAGCTCCTGACCCAGTGCTCAGAGATCACTACTGAAAGGCTCAGGGATTGAACTCAAGTCTGCAGCATGTAAGGCAAGTGCCTTCCCCACTGTACCCTCCCTTAGGCCCTTGCTGATTGCTTTCTTCTTTCTCTCTTTCCTTCCCCTTGTTCCATCAGCCGCCTCTATGAGGCACATCCTTTTCTGAAGTCTGTGGACATGTTTAAGTTTCGAGGACCATCTACAGTCGGAGATCGACTTGTCTTCAGTGCAATTGTCAACAATACATTCCAGACCTGGTAAAGTGTATCCAGTGCTCCAAGAAATTCAGACTTGCATATTCTCCTGGTTTTATTTCAGCCTGAAGTTTTATAGGGAGACTACTTTCAAGGAATCCCGTTCCTTTTTATTTTTTTTCAAGACTCCACTTTGTCTTCGAAGTCCATAGACACAACATGTTAACCCTTTGCTCTGCTTCAGGCCCCTTTTACCCTGGCAAATTGGGATGGGTGGTTTTTGTCTCCTAACAGGTCTGACCATCTGTCCTGCTGACCTCGGGGGTCCAGGATGCTCATATTTATGAATTCCTTTCATTCTCAGGAGTTCTGGTCACTCCATGGTCAGTCCACTCATCATGGGTCTGTCTTTTACAACCAGGAAACCCAAGCCCCTTCCCAATTATTTTTGTTACTCTTTTATTACTTTTTTTTATTACTTTATATATAATGAAGAGTTTTGAGTACTTTTTCTTTTTTAATGTAAAAATAAATAAATAGATAAATAAATAAAAAGGTCTGCATTTCTTATCTCATGGCAGTGCTTGATCAATAATTGCAGACTGCCACCTCCCCATGACCAAAATGTGTTCATAAATGTCCATGCAGCCTCGCCTCTTTCCAGCTGTCAGAAAGGCCAGCACCCAAGCCCCTGGTGCCTGCACGTGGGCACCACCACCAGTAGCATAGATATTGCCAGTGACACAGATTTGTGGGTGAAATGGGAAAATCCCATCCTTTCCTCCTTCAGAGGGATGGCAGTGGGCAGAGAAGCCTAGCAGTTGGGGGGTGCCCCTGCCCACTGCCCTGTGTTGCTGTTCCGCAGTGTGGAAGTGGGAGTGCGCGTGGAGGCATTCGACTGCCGGGAGTGGTCCGAGGGCCGAGGACGACACATCAACAGTGCCTTTCTCATTTATAAAGCTGTTGATGACAACCAAGAACCGGTCACATTTCCACGAATCAAACCCGTGTCAAAGGTCAGATGTTAGGGCTTGCAGTTCATGGGGCGGGGGTGGGGTGGGGCCTGGTGCTGTGGTGGGTGCCAGGCTCCACTCAGCGTCTCACATACCGGAAACCACCCCAATGGCTTTCTTTCCCCCTCTGGTTTTCTTTCTCTGCAGCCCACAGTCAAAATGGCCATGTGTTTCTTTTCCTTCCAAATCTTCGTAATTATTGGTTGAAACGGTGGAGGCCTTGAAGAGCAAATTCTTCTTTGATTTTCTTTCTTTATTTAATTTTATCTCCTTGGGAGAGTGGGGGGTTACGGCGAAATGGCAGCACCCAGAGGTGCTCATGAGGCTGCTCCTGGCTCTGCATTCAGGTTCACTACTGCCTCTGCTGAAGAGATCATAGGTGGTGTTAGGGATCAAAGCAGCAGGTCGACCATGTGCAAGGCAAGCGCCTCACCTCTCGTATTATCTCTTTGGCCCTCCAGATCTCACACTTGCTGGCCCCATTGCTTCTGTGGGTAGCTGTCCTCTGCTCGGGGGCGGGGGCGGGGGGCAGAGTTCTGACTGTTCTCCTGCTTCCCTCCAGCTTCTCCAAGCTGCCCCACATGCATTGAAACTCTGTCTTTCCTTTGTCTGGAGTTGTCCTGTAGTCAACTTTCACCATTGCTGAAGTTGCTCATGTAAGGTACAGTTGTGATTCTGGAAGCAGAAGGCACACAATCACCTCTTTAGAAAACAGTCTCCAGAGCACGATTTGGCTTGCCCTGATGGCCACCAATAGCACCAGGCCAAGTCTTTACAGTCACCCCAGTGAGTTGAGAGGCACCAGCAGTGACTCCTGGGCTTCCTGAACATGCCCTGCATCCCCCTCTCCCCCAGCAGCAACAGCAGCAGCAGCAGCAGCAGCAACAACAACAACAGAAAGAAAAGAATTCTAAAGTTTTGTGCTTTTACTTGTACAACCATCCTTGTAAGCAACAAAGGTTCATGCAGCGAAATCAAGCCCCAGTTACTGACTAAGGAGAGACTTAAGGCTTGTGGTAGTAGCATATTATCATTTTGTTGATTCCACTCTGTATTTTATTAAAGGATGACTTTAGACGGTATCGTGGAGCTATCGCCCGCAAAAGAATTCGTCTTGGCAGGTAAAGAGTGTGTGGATTTTATGGACTCTTGCTGAATAAGCTACCAAAATAACAGTCCCTCTCTGGTCTCCTCTCCCATAACATGAAGAGAGATGGAACATCTGGAGGACTTTTGAGATGAGAACCATTCTTCCTGAGTGGTCTTCCCTTAAAAACAGCTTTGTGAAACCGATTTCAGTTCAAGAAACAGTCATGGATACTGTCAGGTGGCTAATGCAGGAAATAAAAATATTGCTCAATATTTCTTTCTTTCCTCCAGAAAATATATGATTTCCTACAAAGAAGAAGTTCAACTTTGTGAAGAGTGGGATATAAACAATCAGGTGATGATTTTTGACTTAGGACTTTCTCTGTAAACACCACATTAGTTACCAAAAATAGAAAGAAAGAAAGAAAGAAAGAAAGAAAGAAAGAAAGAAAGAAGGGAAGAGAGAGAGAGAGAGAGAACAAAGTAAGAGGAGAATCCCTGGACCAGAGAGGAGGACCAGTGTGTAGGGCAACCTGTGCTTGTCCTATATTCAGCAGACCCAGGTTCCATCCCCAGCAGCCCCTATAGTCCCCCAAGCCTGCCAGGAGTGATCCTTAAGAGGGGAGCCAGGAACAAACTATAAGCACCACTGGGCATGGTCCAATAACAAACAAAACAAAGAGAAGTTCCTTTTATTTAACTGACTGAGGTTGTGACTATATAGGTTAGATGGAAAGGTGAATTATATCAACCAGTCATTTCAACATGATATAAAACCAAGCTGTCATGATTGGTGACCCAGTGGCTGTTTCTCTTACTGGGATTCTGTGTACAAATCAGTGACTTAAGTTGCCCACACCAAATGCATTCAAACAGCAAATGACATGAAGACCCTGTGTCTTTCCATGCGTTGGGTCCAGTGCCTTGCCAACAAACTTGCATTTTATAACACCATACAAAGTACTAGTCATTTTAATATTTTTGTACTATTGCTCCAATCCCTCAAGTTTTTAAAATAAGAATTTCTTAGATGGAGAATTGGGAGTCAGCAGAAAGTAGTGAAATACAAAAGAGATTTGGAAATAGAGAGGAGTTGATGGCGACTCCTGAACGCTGAAATTTGATATGAAAAAGTTTCTTTTGGGAAACTTATTTCTTAAACTTTGAAGTTCTTCAGCTATCTTTGGGTCCAAGCAGGACTTTAAACAGTTCAAACTAAAGACAGTATAGCTATATAGAGAAAGATATCATTAAAGATATATCTTTTGTGGGTATAGATGTATCTATATATTTATTCACACAAATATCTATTTCTATTTTTTGTATCTGGGCTGGAGCGGTAGCACAGCAGGTAGGGTGTTTGCCTTGCACACAGCCGACCCGGGTTTGATTCCTCTGTCCCTCCCAGAGAGCCTGGCAAGTTACCGAGAGTATCCCGCCCACACAGCAGAGCCTGGCAAGCTCCCCGTGGTGTATTTGATATGCCAAAAACAGTAACAACAAGTCTCATAATGGAGATGTTACTGGTGCCCGCTTGAGCAAATCTACAAATAACGGAGGACAGTGCAGTGCAGTGCTAAAGTAAAAAGTGAAATCCATGATTACTCAAACCAGACTGATTACAAGTCATACCAAAGGGTAATCTTGTCTGTTACTAGGACCACTAATTCAACTGCTACTAATTTGCTCACTGTCCTGACTTCATATTTCTTTTTGTTTGAAATTAGATAGAGTTGTATACAGGAAAGACATTACCTGTAGCAGGTGCTAAGCTCAGCACAATCACTTGACTCTAAACAGGGTACATTTGCTAAGTAGAAAAATATCTGGTCACTTTGCATTGAATACACACCTCTTAAAAACCTTGTCTTTTAGGTATCCCTGAGTGATGGCAATGTGACGGCTCTCAAAAATCTGGCAGCCAAAAGTGGTTGGGAGATTACCAGCACTGTGGAAAAGGTAGGAGGCATCCATGTACATGCACAACCTTCTTCCCATCACAAATGAAAGCTGCTGTGTGGTGGTGGTCCTGCTTCTGCAGTTGCTTTGGAGAAGGTAAAGCATTTTCTGGGAATCTTTCTTTCTTAGAATCCAATCTCTTTCCAGCCTTGCCTCTGCTCCATCCTGGATGGTTTGGGGTGCTTCTGCTCTACCCTGCATGTCCCCACCTAAGTAGCCCACCTCCTACAGTCTGCCCCTCCTGCTCTCCAAAGTTTTACCTGGTTTTTGAGACCCAGGGCAAATGCTTCCCCTTAAAGCTGCTCCTACCACCCCTGACTGAGGGAACTTCTCCCTGTATAAGCATATTAATAATTTGTTTCTCCCTTTTTTCATTATTTGGGGCACACCCAGCAGTATTCAAGGACTACTTCTGACTCAGTGCTCAGGGGACACTCCTAGCAGTGTTTGAGGGAATGTGCAGTGGCGAGGACAGAACCTCCAGCATATAACACATGCACACTAGCCTTTTGAGATATCATCCAGCCTCAGGAATTTCTTCTTTAAAAGGGATTTGTTGATTAATCAAGCCCTATATTTGTGACACCACTTCCAGTGTTTTGCTGAACAAATATTTTAGTCTTACATAGTAATTGTTTCGCATTTGGTGTTTTTCCCTAACTAGATTGTGACTTTAAGAAGTCTTGTTTTGATTTATTTGTATCTCTGTTAGTACCTTTTTTAGTGTTTTGCATGTCACCAAATTTGAATAAGTGTGTATCATTTGGGTTTAACCTAATTTTGGAAATGTACCAAGAGACCCCTTGACTCTGATGAACACTCTTAGCTTAGCAGAGCTGTTTTGGTGACCCCCATAATCCCATAACCTAGCAATGCTCACAAGAGAAGAGGCTTAGAAATGCCAGCTTTGTCTATGTTCACTTTTCGATGTGTCCTGTTTTTTAGCACTTATGAAGTAGTAGCTTAAAATTGGGTGACCTTAAATTTTGGTTTTCCCGGGATGGTCCTGTTTGTCCCATCATAGTTGTCAACAGTGCCTTGGAGTTTCAGCAATGATTCATTCCCCTTACCTGGATATGAAATTTGAACCCAAGCATCGCTGCACGTGACCCTGGTGGCCCCAAAGTGTGCTCCACTGATTCTTTTCTACCTCAATCTACTCTGTTTGGTTGGGGGTTCTTTTATTTCTGGCCTCATTTTGGGATTTTTCTGGGTCTCCCTTGCCCTTCTGGATCCAATTAGTTTTATCTCTTCTTGGTTCAGTGGTGCCAAAACATGGTCTCAACATGACAAAAAATTATTTCTTCTCATTCTTCCTAAAAGACATTTCAAGATTGTGTTTTCTTTAACTAATGTGAAATTGGCTTCTTGCATCATTGCTGGTGTCTGGGCATTTGTGAATAGCATCTGAATGAGTTACAGATGCAATTTAACCTGGGGTCTTTCAAGCGTGAAAGAGAGTTGTTCATTTGGAGAATTTGTTCACCAGGCAAAAAGTTGATCTTTCTAACGGTAAGGTTTAAAGTGTGCCAACATCAGCACCCAAGAGATAGTACTGGGGTCAAGGCACATGCCTTCATGTAACCGACCCCAGTTCCATCCCTGACACCGCCTGGTCCGCAGAGCATCACCTACATGATCCTGGAGGCCCCAGAGTACTGCTCATAGCTCAGTTATGCAGGGCCTTCTGCAGGGCCAAGCAGCACCTTAACCTTGGGCTCTTGAGTGGCCTTGTGTCCCCTAAGCTCTATTTGAGAGTTTAAATGATAAGAGCCAGAGATAGTACAACTGGTAAGGTGCTTACCTTGCATGTAGCCAACCCGGGTTCCATCCCCAAAATTCCATATATTCTCCTGAGCATTGCCAGGAGTGACCCTTGAATGCAGAGCCAGGAGGAGGCCCTAAGCCAGTTAGGTGTGTTCCCCTAACAAAAAAAAGGGAGGGTGACAAAATTAAAGATGCATAATTATATGCTTTTTTAAAAAACAAAAATGGAACACAACAACCACTGCCTATCTTCATCTGCTTTGTAAGATGAGGATGACTCATTGATTTGAATCACAGCAGAGCAATGAAGACTTTTTGTCCCCCCACCTTCAGGAAAGAATCAAATGTCATCCCTGCATCCAACATTGCAGTGGGCCCTGCACTGATCCGCCTAGCAATCTCTGTAGGGGCAGAATTCCGTGGTGGTTACTTAGTTTGCCTGGTTTGCAGGAGGCTTACAACTTTCTGAAAAAGTGCTCTGTTACTTTCTTAGTGCTCCCCCATAGTAGCACCCATATAGGGTCACGCTGTGATGGGAGCAGCTTAAATACCCAGAATGCACTGTCTGGCAATTATAGATACTGAAAGTCTAAGACTTTAGTATTAGACTAAATACTAAAGTATTTAGTATTATCAACAGTGCCTTGGAGTTCCAGCAATGATTCATTCACCTTACCTGGATATCAAATTTGAACCCAAGCATCACTGCATGTGACTCTGGTGGCCCCAAAGTGTGCTTCACTGATTCTTTTCTACCTCAATTTCCTCTGTTTGGTTGATTTATGGATAGGCTACTTTGGTGGGAGCAAGGAACTTTCCTTTCTGGGTCTTTCACCACTTTGGGTGCCTTGGTGACAACCTTTGATGTTCTTTGGCTGTAGCTGCATCACACAATCTCCAACTTTGTCTTCATATGGCAGACTTGCAATCTGTGTTGGTGACCAAATGTCTCCTTTTTATAAATAAATGGATCATGCTGGATGAGAGATGATAGTTTCAATAATTCCATCTGCAATGGCACTCCTTCTAAGTGGCTGGAAGTTCAGACTTTAATTCATGAATTTTGGAGAATACACAATTCCACTTTAAATAAATACTAAGCTCAAGACTGTGTCCCACTCCCCACTCTTCCTCTAGCAGCCCCAAGGCCCAATTCTGATGAGGAAATTTATCTTTCACTGCCTTCACCTCCTCTTTTTTTTAAAAAAAATGAATCACCAATCACCATGAGATACACAGTTACAGAGATTTTCATGATTGGGATTCAGTCATACAATGTTCCCACACTGTTCCCTTCACCAGTATGCATTTCCCACCACCAACGTCCCCAGTATCCCTGGCCCCTGCCCTACCCCAGACTGCCTCTTTGACTGATTTAGAGCCATTCAGCTCCAAGTGAGACTGAAGGTAACCTTCCTCTGTGTTTGCCCCAATGAGGCTCCTTCTATAGTCTAAGCAGGGGCCAGGGCTGGGCATGTCCACACTGCCATGAGATGCAGAGGCCCCCTGGTGCCCCACTCCAGGTCTCTTGCTTGATTAATGTCTACAACCTGGGTCTTGGCCCACATTATGGGCTATTTGAACTTAGGCTTGGCATAAAGTTCAATTGGAAAGAGAAGGTAGTGTAACAAAACAACCCATCCTTTCCACGCCGCTTTTAGTTTCTTATTTCTTCCCTTTCTTCTTGAAGACATTTGTGCTTAAATAAAGGTTTTTCTCCCTCACAGCTTGATTTTTCCATCTGCTTGATTCCTGTATTGAAGTCTTAACCCTGTGCGTGTTTGTCTTCTCACAGCTTGTTGCCATGGGAATGATTATAAGATGGTAAATTGCAACACTAACTTCAAAACAGCCTAAAAGAGATGGAGAATGGGTGGGATAGAAACACATAGCTCTGGTTATTGGTAGGAGAAAGAGAGTTCAGAGTAACGTGGGATGCATTCATGTTTAAGTAGATGTCAAATGGGTCCCCAAGTCATCAGATGTCCTCTGATCCAAGGAAAAAGCCTTAGAAACCCTGGAGCAGGCCTCCCAGAGGATGAGCCCTGGTGATTCACAAACAAATGAATACTTGGTGCTGAACAAATAAAGTGCATTGGGGGCTCATCCTAGGAGGCTGAGTTGCTTCTAGAGGAGAGAAGCTTGCTGGCTGGCTCCCCTGGGCCCACCTGAAGGCATGCCTGCCATCCCGGAAAAATGCTCCAGGGGACAGTCTTGACTAGTTCGTTCTGGAAAGAGAGGAGGCTTGGCTGGGCCGAGTGGCCTGGATATACCTTCTGTTGTTCCAGGAGACACGCAGGGACACATCCCAGAGAGGAAGAGAGGGCAGGCTTGAGTTCTTTATTTTTCCTCAGAGAAATGGTTGCACAAGAATTAACCACCCCTCACATCCCTGTTGTTCAGAGCAATATTTCTCTTCCATGGGCTACCTAGCCCTGCTGTGGCCCCAGGCTATTCCAAAGGGGTCACAGGTGAAATCCCATCAAAGGGCTGCCATAGAACAAGGCAAGGGGGCCAAATGGTAGGATAGGGGGCCACCGGAAGGATGCAAGTTTGGAAAGGGACTGTGTTTAGACCTAAGTTGAGAAATGCTGGTTGAGGGGACACAGGAGCAGGATGTCCTGGTCAGCCTATGATGTGCTCAGGTTAAAGTGCTGTTGGCATTTTTTAGTTTTCTTGTTACCCAGCTACTCAGCTGCTACAGTCTATCTCTGACTAGGTATGCATGTGGGTGGGGTTTAAGGTTGCAAAGCCATGTATTTTTCCTTTATATTTTATTCTTTCCTTATTGTTATCATTTAGATAAAAATATATACTCTGGAAGAGCATGATACTTTATCTATTTGGGTTGAAAAACATGTGGAGAGACCAGCACATACTGCCTATCATCTCTTGTCTGACTTTACCAAGAGGCCTCAGTGGGACCACCATTACGTGTAAGAATAAATTGCTTTACTTGTGTATTTTTGGATTTGGAGTCACACCAAGGGTGTTCAGGACTTACTCTTGGCTCTGTGCTCTGGGATCACTCTCTGTGGGTCTCAGGGGACCATATCGATTTTGGGGAATCAAACTGGAATCAGCAGATGGCAAGTTCCCTACCCACTGGACTGTCCCTGTGGCCTCTAAGGACACTTTTTAAATATCTTCTTCACCAACTTTGAACCCTGTAAACGATGCCCTCTAGTCCAATTGTTTGCCAGAGGACTCAATTTTTTAAAATTCAGGAATATTTTGAAAGCTTGCTCTGCATAGAAAACAGCATTGGATGCCATGGAGACCAAACAAAAAATATCATCATCTATTTATCATCTGGATTGAGCTGACAGATTGAGTTGATAGATTACTCACATTTATCATAATCCTGCCAGTCACTCAAGTTTGAGAGTGTATCCCCATTTAACAAGAGAGGGCTCCGGAGAGTTGCCAAGATTGTAGGCTGTAAAGGGATGGAGCCAGAATTGGAACTAAGCTCTGTCAGGTTCGGAATTTCACAGGCTTTTGCACTTTAGTAGACAATAGCATTGCCCTTGAGGAAGTAAATATCAAATTGTCCTTCCCACTTGCCACTCCTGATGCTTAGCGGCTCCCTCTTTGTCTGGGAAGCATGACTCTCAAGGGGGAAGCTGAGAGAGAAAACTATTCTTTCTGCCCTCTCCTTGTTGTCTGAGCTAGATCCACTCCTGACAGCCTTCATCTCTTACAATTCTGTTAATTCCTGCCTGCATCCTCTACTCTCCCTCCTCTCCTGGAATTCAGAGTTATACAACTTGTCGACTGCACTGACAGAAAGTGATTGTGCCCTTATACACACATATCGCGCGCGCGCACACACACACACACACACACACACACACACACACACACACACACACTCACTCACTCACCCTGGTCCAATGAGTCACAGATCCTGGATTACAATGAAGAGAGTTTTATGAGCATTTTACTGAGAGGGCAGGAGCATTGCAATGGGTTTCCATTGTATGCATGAATATTTATTTAGACTTCCTAATGAGACAAAGGTCTATCTTTATTTTTTTAAATTTATTTATTTTTTGCTTTTTGGGTCACACCTGGCAATGCACAGGGGTTCCTCCTGGATATGCACTCAGAAATTACTCTTGGCAGTGCTCAAGGGACCATATGGGATGCTGGGGATAGAACCTGGGTTGGCTGCGTGCAAGGCCCTACTTGCTCTGCTATCACTCCAGCCTCAGAGGTTCACCTTTAAGATGTTTAAACATTGCTATGATTAATACCATGTAATAGACGATTTATTATCACTAAAGTGAAATATCTCAAGGATCAAGTGTTATACAAACATAGATGCCAGAGTGAGAAGTCCTGGTTAGTGCTCTCCTAATAAGCCACTCTAAGAGAAGAGGAATCACTTCATAGTTTTCTTGCAACCTTACGCAAATACTCTTGCATCTCTTGGGATACTTCCCTCTACTTTGAACCTAGGAACTAGGTCCTGAGAAGTACAATGCCCACAGAGAAGCCCTGAAAAGTCACTCTAACTCATAGCCTTAATGGACATTAATTGTCTACTAAAGTGCAAAAGCCTGTGAAATTCCGAAGTGCAAAGATTTTAGAAAGAACAATATCTAAACATTTGTGTTCTTTTCAAATGTTTCTCCTACTATTTTTTGTTACCTGATATTCTGGCCAAGTTGAATAAATGGAGGGAGGAATAAATGAATTGAATTCCAAATCCACTTACTCTTCTTGTGTACCTGCTGCATTTTAGATACTGTGCTGGAACTCTACCTCTTACAGATGAAAAAATAAAGTTAATGGGATGGAGTGCTAGCTGACTCATCTGACCCAGGTTCAATTCCCCACCATCCCATATGGTTCCCCAAGCACCACAAGGAGTAATTCTTGAGTGCAGAGATAGGAGTAACCTCTGAACATCACCAGGTGTAGTCCCAAAAGAAAAAAGAAAGAAAAAAGTGTCTTGCCTAACATAACATAGCTTCTAAGGGACAAACTTTCTAACTCCAAAGTTAATAGTACCTCCAATGAACAATTTTTTATCTTTTGTTGGACGTCTATATATAATCCATTAGTCTTCAAAAGCACAGCCTTTCTTTCATTATTTTATTTACATAGGTCATGTAAGATCATAGATCGGGTAAGTGAAGATGATCAGATATATCATATTACATGTCCTACAGTGAACGAAGACAAACCCAAAGACTTGGTGGTACTTGTGTCACGAAGAAGACCTCTCAAAGATGAGTGAGTATGTGTGATCCAAGGACCAGAGAAATGTTTATAGTATAGGTTAGAAAGGAAAAATAGCTGTGAAAATGAGGATGTCAATGTAGGCATTTCTATTCTTGAAAGATGTATATTTAAAATCTTTTCTAAATGGATCTTATCCTTTAAAAAATACAATAATCTATTAATTGCTAGTCATGTGCAAAGCACTCAGCATTCCTTAAACTGCCTCTTTTCCTTTTGCTCTATACATATATAAAACATATTTATAAAACCCTTGAAACAGTCCATTACCAGTAAAAAAATAAAACTCAAAGCAAACATCAAGAACTGGTTTAGAATTTACAAAAGCTTGATTGTACTAAGTGTCCAAAGTGGCCAAATGCCCATTAAGGCTATGAATTAGAGTGACTTTTCAGGGCTTCTCTGTGGGCATTGTACTTCTCAGGACCTAGTTCCTAGGTTCAAAGGAGAGGGAAGTATCCCAAGAGATGCAAGTGGAAGCTGGCAAGAGAGATTGGGGTAACACCTGGAGTTGGCAAGCATTGCTCTTCAATGTTAAATCTATCCTATATAAATAATCCCATACATGTATGAATATTAATGCACATGGACGTTCAATATAATACCATTTATCATGGCAGAAAATATGAGAAATAAACTGAAGGCTTATTTCATAAATTATAGTAGAGCCGCCCTAAAGAATACTGTGCCATCATTTAAAAATATGCAGTAGCTTTCAAAGCACTGATAAAGAAATACTTCAAAGATTTATTGTAAAGTGAAAATTCAAATTATAGACCAATATTTATAAAATGATTATATTCCTAGAAAAATATATCTGTGTATGCATTATCTTACATAAATTTACAGAAATATCTGAAGAGCTGAGTAACAAAATGTTAGCAGTGAACATCCTAGCATGAGAGTGAATTATGGTTAGAGTGAACTTAAAGATTTCTGTTTTTAAATTATTGTTAGAACATTCTTTAAAACAATGTATACTATTTTTAATTTTAAAAAATAAGGAGAAGGAGAATAACACTTTAACACATTGGAACATAAGAAACAGTTTGGGGGTTGACTCTAGTATTGTGGAATTTTGCAAAATATAAGTAATTTGGGGGGAGCAATTGCCTGAGGTCATTATTTGTAATATCCTACACTTGGCTGTAGAGGCAGTACTATTTTAATGTTCAACACTCTGATGTGGGTCTTCATAATTTCACTTCTATCTATACACATTAAATTGCATTAAGGATAGGAAGCTATTTTTCAATCTTCATTTCTTGCAAGATCTTAGAATGAGTTTTTCTCTTTCAGCAATGCTTTCACCGTGGCAGTGAAGTCAGTGATTCTTCCATCCGTCCCACCCTCTCCACAGTACATGAGAAGTGAAATTATATGTGCTGGGTTTCTCATCCATGCTACTGACAGCAATTCATGCATTGTAAGTTTGATGAAACATCTGCAGATTAATTTTCTCCCATGGGTATAGGGAAATCTATGGGTTAATTTGCTTCCATGGGTATAGAGATATTCTTTGTTCAGATTTCCTAATCAATTGTAATTCTGTAATGTGTTTCTACACTAGGGCAATTTTAAGGTCATTCTTTCTAGTCCATTCTGAAAAGTCCCCAGAAAATCAAGGTGATAACCATGCACCCCTCATCAATAAGAGTCATATCTGAAAAAAAGTCATATCTGTACCTGAAAAAAGTACTAAGTTAATAAGAAATTAAAATATTGTATTTTCTTTTTGAAACAGGTGTCTTACTTTAATCAGATTTCTGATAGCATCTTTCCTTACTTTGCTGGAAATCTTGGTGGCTGGTCTAAGTCCATTGAAAATACAGCAGCTTCCTGCATACAGTTCATTGAGACTACTCCTAGTGATGGGGTGATATGAACACTTTACATGGTAATTTTTTTATTTATCTGTGATTTGATTGTCCACTTTTCCACCAAAGTATCACTGGCTCTGACACTTGTCAAACTTTGGGGCCACAAAAACAGCATAATGAACTAAGACAAAATGCAGTTGAAAAAAATGTTTTTAAAAAACAAGGTGTATCTCAGGTTAAACTTTAGTAATTTGAATTAGGAATAAAAAAGCTAAATGATGATCTGTTTTAGATGATCTGTGACTTGCTCCTTCCCAGGGGCACAGGCGCCAGAAAATTGTTCATGTGCAATGCTATGTGTTCTGCACAACGGTAAAATTTGTATTTGGTTTAAATCATTATAAACTTTTCTTAGGATGCAGAGGTGAAAAATGTTCTAAATGTTTGAAATCTTATAAAGGAAAAAGAGATAAGCTGGGTGGTCTATTAATAATGTGAGACTGTCCAATGTACAGCAGGCATCTGTATGTCAGGAATATCTGACAAGATATATTACATGGTTTAGAGCTTTAAATTAGGAAGATATTAAAACATAATGGAACCCAATCAATTTTAATAATAGGACCTACTTTACTAGTGTCATTCAACTTATATTCAAGGTGGCTGACCAATTTAGTGTCTATTGCTATATATACACATACAAAGTATCTGTAAAATGAGATATTAGAGAGTATTAACTGTGCTCTTCCTTCATAATCATTATGTTGGCACTTTATTCCTTAGACTTTGACATTCATTATTCTACTCTGACTGTGATTTGTCTTAACTCCTAAGACAAGCCGGCATATGTCAAGTTAGCCTCCTCTCCAAGACAACTTTTAAAATTTGAAGAGCTTCTCCATTAATGTTCAGAGCACTTAAGAGGTAGAAACATCCTGCTGTTAGTTTACTGAACTCTACACTGCTCCTCCTACCAACTTCCCTCCTTCCCTATCCACTTAGGGAGGTCTTGTTGTAATTATTTTTACTATTCTATGTCATCAGACTTTCATATACATGAACGTTGGGAAAGAAATGGAATTTAAAGAAAGATTAAGCAAGGTACAAGAGATGTATCTGGGGAGGAGGGGAGATATTGGAGATGGTTATTAGCATGGGGGCTTCATGGAGGGACACTTGAGCATTTTGATAGCAAAGCATCTGAGATGGGGATGTTTCCAGCATATTCTAGGGAAAGCTAAGAAACAAGAGAGATTAGAAAAATTGAGAGATAATTCAAGACAGTTGAGATAAAGGCAATGTTCCTAGGTTTTCGTTAGGGCCCAGGTTTCAAGCAAACAGGGTTATTCCGATGGTTCATCACCCTGGGCCCCTTGGAGATTAAGAACAGAAGAAACAGAAAATGGAATCCTGCTTACTGTTTCCTGTTCTCTACCCAAGTATATTGAGAAAGACTCAAGATTTCATGCCTGTCTTGTTGGTGAAACTTATAAAGTGCTTCTAACAGGACCAAAAGCTTTTTGATTAAGTAGGGAAGTTCATTCCTATGAATTCTTCCTAGTTTAAATGCAACGAAGTTTCTGGTTTGTATTCAGTTTTCATATCATTTAAAAGAAGAACTCTAGGGGGGAAATGCGAACATTCATCAGAAGAATATAGTTTGTCCTTATGCTCAAACACTTCCAGGAAATGATGAACTACTTTAATAAAAAAAACTTTAAAGTAACTAGAGTATTTTTAATGTACACTGCCCAATGGTTTTAATCATCGGTGTTGTTGCATGTCTCAGAAATAAACTTGAGAATCTTTATTAGTATGTTTATAGGAGTTGTGTTAAAAATATATGCTGTGGCGCCAGAGAAATAGTACAGTGTATAGGTACTTGCTTTGTATGTAGACAATCTGGGGTAGATGATCTGAACATGGCCAGGAGAAATTCCTGAGCACAGAACCAGGAATAAACCCTGAGCACTGCTACCTGTGGACCAAAACACAAAACAAATAAAAACTCCAGAAAACATATCTTCATCATGTATATGCTAAGGAATAATTTTTGTGATTCTAAATCATTAAAATGAAGATGATGAAATTTGCTCTTGATTTACTTCATCCACTTGAAGGTCATGTAACTATTAGGACAAACATTTCATCACACAGACTTGCAGGGTTCTACCACACTCCAAGTCACAATAATCCCCTGATTTTAGCTAGCTTCATAGTAAACTAATGTGCTTCAAGTGGCTATATGGCCTTGGTGTAACTGCTGACTCATCCGGCAGAGCAGGGTTTGGCTCTTTTGCCTCTTGATATGCAGTTTGAAATTTGCTCAGAGAGCTGGGCCCTCAGTTCCTCCACTCTGCTAGAGGCCCTCTCTATCTACAGTGTTTACTGAATCCAAAATGCCACTCCAGAGAAGTAGGGGTGAAGCAAAAGCAGTATAAATGGGTCAACTCTCATGCTTCTAGCTGTATCAAGAATAATATGACCTTTATCTCTGAACCCAGTCCCACGTTGTTTTCCAATATTCATGAGGCAGTAATAGGCTAAACTCATTAGCTTATGAAGAATTTCAGACACTTTTGGTTCTTGACAGTAACCCACCTTCAGATTAAAAAGTCAGAGACAGCTCAGGTTACAAATTCCAGCTTACAATTTGTAAGTATGAAGAATTATTTAAAGAAAAATGACCCACTAGACACATTTTTTCTCCTCATTTTTTGATCTTTTAGAGACATTTAAAATATATTAGAAATTAATTTTTTGGCCATTTCCACACCTCATTACTCTTCCTCAAGTCCTTTTTTGTTACCTAGTTTTGATTCTATGACCTATCATTTTAATTACTCCTTGGTAAATGCCATACCTCTCTCCTTTCATTCAACAAAATCTGCCAAAACCATAAATACGGCTAAATAAAAAAATATTCACAATGCCTAATTCCTTCACTGAGAACCTAAAATTGTGAAATGAACTTATTTGAAGTTTTCAAAAGGGCATTCAGGACTCTGCTAATCCTACTATACATCCCTAGGATTTACTATTTCACAGTTTCTTTCAAACTTTCCAAATCTCTTACCTTGCAACACAGTTCATGCAGTAAAAATTTACTTTATTGAGAAAATTAAAAATGATTAGGCAGAAACCTTCTCATATTTCTACCTGTGCACTTTCCATATCTGCCCTATTATAATCAGTGGAATATCACTCCTAGCAAAGAATATTTTCTCTATCTTCCTGGAGTGTCTTCTTTTGAGTGTCTTCAAAAATTTCTTTACCTCTATTGGTTTATTTCCATAGCCACTATTAATTCTGACTCTGAAATCAAGAAAAGCAAAATATCACTTGCCTGATACCATTTTCCCATCCTACCACAGCAGTCTGTACTCTGTTTACCTATGTAGTCTTCATATCTCTATTTCATTCATCACATAGAACTTTTATCTACCTTACTTCACAAAGATCACCTCTGGCCTCCACATTGCTAAAACTTTCTGCTCCTGACTTACTTGGCTCATAACTAAACTTCAAGAAATTTGCCTTCTTTTTGCAGTATTTTATCCTCTTGGCTTCCCTGATGTCACATTCTTGGGTTCCTCCTATCCTCACTGATCACACTTCTAAGACCTCTCATGGTTCTTTCTCTTTCACATCTAAAATATTATACTACCCTAAAGTCCTTGGCTTCTTGTAACTCCATTCCATACTGAATGTACCCAATTTTTGTGTGTAGTAGAGGGCCATGCACAGCCATACTCAGGGGTATTTCTGGAGATGCTTGAGGGACCTTATGCAGTTCCAGGTATCAAAAAGGGGCTGGCAACATGCAAAGACCCATAACCCTTGAACTAGCTCTTTAACTTTCCCTCTTTGGGTTTTAAAAGCCATCTGTCTCCCAGCAAGTCCCAAATCTATGCCACTAGTCCTAACCTATCCTTAGTTTTACATTTGTGTGTCTAATGAAATACTTCTACTAACATTTCAAAGTTAACATTTCCAATACAAACCATTTCACTATGTCATTTTCACCCCAAGTCCACCTTTTTTTAAAAAAGAAAATCTATTTAGTTTGATGTTAAAATTAAAGAGCCAGATGCCTTCCAATAAACATGATGACAACCCTACTCTAAAGAATCATTTTCCCTCCATCTGGATTATAACTATTGATTCAGATCTTCCTCTTTATTCTTTCAACCCAGGAATCGGAATTCATTTAAAGAGACAGTTTAAAGGGGTAAGCGTATGATTGCTTTGCATGCTAGAGTTCAGCTGGATCTCTGGCATACTAGGTTCCCAGAACGTTGCCAGGAGCAACCCCCACGCACTGAGCTGGGGGTAATTCCTCAGCACTTCTAAGTGTGATCCTGTTTCCCACCCTGAGGGAAGGAAAAAAAAAGGAGCCAGGATGTTGTAAAACAGGACACAAGTCCACCTCGAGCCTGACTGAGGCTGATTCCCAGCACCACATGGTCCCTTGACCATAGCTTGTGTATCCCTGGGAGGCCCTATATATATGTGAGCTGTCATATCCTCAGACACATGCATTTGAACCACCAGTCTGTTTCACTGAGCATCACCGGTGTAGTCTCTGGACCTTCTGAGTACAACTTTGGATCTGCACCTCTCTCTTCCTTCAAAGACAAGTGTGTGTGCATGCCCGTGTACAGCCCCAGAGGAATAGAACAGGGCTTAAAGCACCTGCTTTTCTATGTATAATCACAAGTTAAAATTTTAGTGTTCCACATGCCCTAGCATGACCCTGGCATGATGCTCCAAGCATGATCCTGCCAACACTGCTCTTTGAGCTTTGCAGCTCAGTTGTCTGTGATTTCCAGTGCCATAAATGGTTTCCAGCCATTTGGTGCAACTCCTAGCAAGTTTTGCAACTAAAAAGATGTGTGAGAGCCACAGTCAGGAAGTGTGACCTCTGGTGAACAAGTATGAGCATTGTAGCAACCCTGAGTGAGCACAACTAAAGGAAGTTGGTTCTTGGTGAGCACAGTGGCCAAGGATGGGATTATCACAAGCTGGTATCAAGGCACAGGGGTTTCTGGAACCTGAGGTCTCCAGAGTGGGCTGGGAGGGGAGACACCTCCATCCCAACCCAGGAGCTGTCACTCTTTATAGGCCTCAGTGCCAGTTTTGAAAACTTTCAGATTTCAAAAAAAAAATCTTAAATTCTCTAACCTCAGTTGTCTTAGAGTCTTCCCATGTTGTCTTCTTTAAAAAAAGAGAAATCAGATTATATGCACGATATATTTACTTTTCTTTTGAATGAGCCTGTTAACAGCATTAGAATATCTGTAAGACAGTTTGTGAGTTAGCCTTAAATATGAACAAAATTCCTTTTAACAAAATGCATACTAGAAGATTAACTTGAAAATGTTAACTAAGTCAGATACAAAAGGACAGAGGCTTTTATTATTATATGATATATAAGATTAAGTGCCTAAGGGAGGTGGATTCGTGGAGATAAAATATCTCTAACAGTGGGTTCAAGGTTTGGGGGAGAGGGGGATTGATGCTTAGTGACTTGTTTCTGGGTTTTTTTTTTTTTTTTGCTTTTTGGATAATACCTAGTGATGCTCAGTAATTACTCCTGGCAGTGCTTGGGGGACCATATGGGATGCTGGAGCTCAAACTCAGGTCGGCAAATGCCCCACCCACTGCTGTGACCCCAGTAACTAGCTGCTGAGTGGATGATGGCCCAGTGCTGGAGCTGGATAAGGTGATGGTTACTTGCAAATTTAGTGACAAAACTCTACATGTATAGACAGTGCTGTAGTTTGTTGTTGGTTTTTCGTTTTGGGGTCTCAAGAAGCTATGCTCGAGGATCGCTCTTAGTGGTGCTGTGGGGACCATATGAAGAACCAGGATGGCAACTGGGTCAGAGGTGTGCAAGGAAAGTGCCTTATCCACTGTGGTATCACTCTGGTCCTGTGCTTTTTTAAAAGTTCAATCTGAACAAATAAAAAAAAAAAAATCCAAGTAAGACAAAATGAAAACTAATACTCCTGCATTGAAGAGCTTGTAAACAAATTAAAACCCTTACTTATCCTGCAGCTGACAGGTTTTAGACTCTACAGAGCCTTTGGTCTTAATAGGACAGGTGAACCCAATCTGGTGTCGGGACTAAATGACTACAGCAGCATTTCCATCCTTTTCCAGCTGCATGACATGTGCAGTTCCTGCTAAATGGCACTTCTCATTTCCTTAAATTCTGGGATGCTGAGCAGTATTCTGTCCTGTTTTCTTCTCTCAATGAAAAGAAAAGAACAGCTCCTATTAAGCTAGAACTGTTGAGTTGTGCAGACATTAAAACAGAGAAAAGTGTTTCTTTTCTTATTTGGTAAATATTTTGCTTTTGAAGCATCAGTGACTAATCACAGCTGCTTCCCTCAGTTACAAATATACCCAATCAGGTAAAATTCCAAATGAAATACAAAATCCACTAGTCATTGCATTATACAGTACAATGGGAGCCTTAAGCCTTGTGAAATATATGTATTAAGTATGCATGTATTCATCAAATCAAAGAAAGAAGTTAATGGGTCTCTGATTAGTGTTCTATTATGGTGTTGCTTGCATCTCACCCTGACTCATCTTAATATGACCGAATGGTATTGAAGTTTGATGAACGATCTGCTAAGCAACACCCTTCTGGTTAAATACACGGAAGTGAATTTTGGCTAGAATTCATTCTTCAAAAATCAAGGGCAAAGAAAAAGCTGCGATTCAGCTGAGATACTCTTTGTCCCCATTTTTATTTCACTGGAATCATAAAAGACCATGTTCCCTAAGGGACTTTTATAAGGACATTAATGGGCAATGGCTAATTCTACTATGAATTAGGTATTCAGAAAAACAACCAAACAGTAAATGAGTTTTTTATTCAACATTTTTAAATACAGAATTTTTATGATAATTTATAAATACATGTGTTGCAACCAATACTTTGAACCAGAAAAATATAGGCAAAAAATTCATTTTCTCTAAAATTGCCAACTGCAAAAGAGTTTACCCTTAGTTTACAGGTGGTTCATATAAATGCCTGATTTTGTTTTTAATAAAAAATTTGATTGTTACAATCCTGTATATAACCACTTGGTTAGACCTCAGTTCTTGCTGCTGAAAGATGTTCTTTTAGAAAATCAAATTGAAAAATCTTCTGCCTACCTTAGACTGTAGTCCTTGATAGGCAAAGTCAGAAAATCGACCCCTCCACCCGCACCCCCCACTGCACTGGCAGCTCTGCTACAGGCCTCCTCAGGAGCCCAGCTCCAACAAGTAAAGTGGACCTAGTTCAGAATGGCACTATGAGGTGATGGCTGACAACAGGAATAATGCTTATCAAAAGTTAACAACTTTGGGTGTCTTTGTTTTAGGTTTCTGTACTTTGGGCACATCCAAAACTTCTTCATAGTCTGCACTCATTCCCTTCGCCAAGCGACCAACTGTGACCAATCGCTCTGTAAAGGAATACACAAGTCAGAATATAAGAAAAATGACCATCAAACACAGCCACCTAGATTGGTACCGGTTCAGCAAAAGAACTAGTTTTGATATGGATAATCACAAAGAGGGAAGATTCCATCATTAAAAAGTGAGCAATTCTGTAATTGATTATAACCCTTGATTTCAGAGTACCACAGGCAATTTCTCATCCCAATTAGGGAAATGTGGTGACTGCTTTGCAATGCACAAATTGATGAGAAAGCTCTTTCATTCTTTCCCAGAGTTCATCATTATAGAGTCAATGAATTCCAAGAGTCTGTAAACAGCAAGACTTATGAAGCATCAGTTCTAAATGCACAAGATTCCACCTGTGAAATTATACAACATCTGCTTGTCAGTCTTGTCATTTGGGAAGTGGCAATCCTCCCAGGAGGGAGAATTCAAATTCCATTTCATCATTTCAATCTCGCTCCTTAAAACTTAGTAAAGACTATCTTTTTCTAGACAAGACTGTAAACAAGAACTCTTGGTTTTTGAAATTTGAATGTTAGAGGGAAGTAGGAATGAGCAAACTTACTTGAGAAGAACTAGATGGTGTAAAATAAAAAGAAATGCGCTTTCCTCACTAAGAAGCATTACGGGGCTTTTCTACTACGTGGCTTTCATTCATACAGGATTATCATCATTTTAATCCAGGTAAATGAATGGAGCAATCACCTCTACTTCCCCCAAATCTGCCACAGATACAGTGAACATTTACAAAGCTGCTTATAGGTTTAACAAGAAAATAAAAATCAGATTAAGTAATCTGTGAGAGGACAGTGAGTTAGACTACAGAGCAATCTGCCTATGAAGTTTCTGATGACTCTGGGTATTGTATTTCATTAGGCAGAAATCATTACTGGCCAGATGCTGCGTAGATAACATTTCTGGCAGTTCTGGCAACCAACCCTGAATGCTTCTAGTACAAGGTTTATGTACGGATAATCAACCCAGGAATGGCAAAAATTATTTTCATATCTAATTTTTCTTTGTGAATCAATACTTTAAAGTAACAAAATTATCTCTATTATTAAATTAATTGAATAGCTAATGCAAATGCTTATAAGTAAGATGCTTTATAAAGTTAGGTATAATGGGCACTCTTCTCCCCACCTGAGAATATCAGCTAATACTATTATACCCAGTGCTGAGAGTGATGAGTAAGTCATCACTGTAGTAGAAAATGACATTGTCTTAAAATCAGTAGAACCTCAAAGAGTTATGAATAACAAGATGCCACAGAGACAACCAAAGAATACTAAATTAACCCTTCTAAACAGAGGCCCAGAGATCTCACCTGAATTCTTACTTTCAGGACAATCTTTCTTAAAATGTTCCACAGAGCCACAAAGTTTGCAGCCACCACCTATTGAAAGAAGGAAATCAGTGAAAAAATCACATACTTACATAGAATTTTAATGCCTCTAAGTCCTCTCATATCTTATATGACTCAAACAATCTGTCAGTTGTAAAAGTAAATGGAGCCAGGAACATGGGCAGGTGCCACCACTCCTATGAAAGAGTCTATTCTCCATTCCTCTCCACCTCACAGAACCATTATCTACCCACAATTTTGTTTTGTTTTGTTTTATTTTGGAATTATACCTGGTTATGGTCAGGGGTTACTCCTGGTTATGCACTCACGAATTACTCCTAACAGTGCTCAGGGGACCATATGGAATGCCAGGTCGGATGCATACCAGGCAAGCACCCTACCTGCTGTGCTATCGTTCCAGCCCCACTAGCCAAAGTTTCTTGTGCTTGCTCTCAGGGGCAAAGTGGGAAAGAGAAAAGAAATAAGATGGAAGTCACTAGTCCTCTGCAAGGTCCAAGAGGCACTGCCCAGAATCCAGAAGTCTGGTTCTTTACCATGGTTCAAGGGACTATGAACTTTTTATTTTTTTTTTAAATTTTTATTAATGAAACACCATGAGGTACAGTCGTAGACTTACAAATTTTTGTGCTTGGGTTTCAGTTATACAATGATCGAACACCCATCCCTCCACCAGTGCCCATTCTCCACCACCACTGATCCCAGTATCCCTCCCACCCCCCATTTCCCCCATCCTACCCTGCCTCTTTTGTTCTCTCTCTCCTTTAGGGTGCTATGGTTTGCAACAGAGGCATTGACTGGCAATCCTATCCTGGGAGAATCCTCCCAACACCCTTTATTTGGTGCTCCCTTCTCGATCTGAGCTGCCTTTTCCCCCATGTGTGCGGCTAGCCTCCAAGCGGGACTGTGAACTTTTTAATCTTATGCAAAATCTGCGCGCTGATGGATTTTTCCAAGGTGGAAGATAGCCACAGTTTTTAATGATTCATAAATGACCTCCCCAACCCCCCCCCAAAAAAAACCAAAAACCAACCAAAACCAAAACCCAAAACCCAATCAAACAAAAACCTTTATCTATCTGCTGTAGAAGTTAGATAGGGGAACCAGTCAGAGAAGGAATGACTTGTTTCAGTGACAACTATCTGCCAGGCATCTTAATCCTAATAAACTCCTATATGTCTACTTCAACAATATTTCAGGATTGTGTGGCATCTTGTTTTGTTTGGTTTTGTTTTTGTTTGGTTTTTAGACCATTATTCAGTGATGCCCAAGGCTTATTTCTGGCAGGGCTCGGGGAACTGTATTGGGTGCCAGGGATCGAACCTGGGTTGGCCATGTGCAAGACAAACACCCTACTTACTGTAATAACTCTCCAATCCTTGTGATGAATCAGTCACTTAATGGTCAAACACTATTACTCAGTGGTCAAACATTATCATGACCATAATGCTAATATTAAATGACTTAGAAAAATGGTACTCTTAAGTTATCAATCTGGCTGAATTCTTTGTCTTATGTGATTGACTCCCATTGCTACACATTAAAAAATATCCCAGTCTTGGGAGCTGGAGCAATAGTACAGTGGTTAGGATGTTTGCCTTGCATGTGGTTGACCTGGGTTCAATTCCCAGCATTCCATATGGTCCCCCAAGCACCGCCAGGAGCAATTCCTGAGTGCAAAGTCAGGAGTAACTGTGCACTGCTGGGTGTGACCCCCCCCAAAAAAAATCCCAGTCATTTTGCTTTGTCATTCAAAGCCTTCTATCCCCATCATCCAAGTTGTCTGACCTACTTCAGAAGTTCAAAATGAAAAGGTCCTTTGAGCAATTCCCAAGCCCAAGTTTCTTTACCACTGTAGAGCAAAACAATAGTGACATCTGAATAATTTATTTTAATTCTCGTAACTCTTCCAGGTAAGTAATGCAATTCATCAAATTCAAAACATAAGATGTATGCAGCATTACAGATTTCTCGAATAAAAGAAAAACTGCTAATAATTCTGTGGCAACCCCCCCCCCCCAAGATAGACATGTTGAGTTCAGAGACACTAAATGTGAAACATATCTAAGAATCAATGAAATACATCTTCACTTCCAGACATATCTCTTCCATTTTACAGGTAATAGATGAGTAAGGTGAAACTGGCCAGAGATCCACACCTAGTTAGCAGTGGTGCTGGGCTAGAGCTAAAACTGGCCTGTGACTCTCAAAGCGATGCTTTTTCTACCTACTTCTCCAAGGGACCCAAGACATGAACAAGAGGTGTCTAGAACCAGAAGATGCCAGACAGCTTGTTAAATAATAACTCAACATTAGAGTTGACAGATGACAGTTTCCTTCTTAAAGTTTTAGCTATCACAGACTTTCTTGTGGGGATTGATCAGAAAGTTACAGGATCCCATGCCAGACAGGAAAAAAATTCAAAAGGCCAAATCACAAATACTGAATAGCGTGTACCAGTCCTTTTCTACCCTGAATGGTAGGCTAGGCTGAGATTAAATTTGAAACACTCTCTTTAAAATCTTCACATTAGTTTAAGATACAATCTTTGTTAAGTTGTTAAAGTTAAGATGTAGGCATATATACTACCGAATGTAGCCTGCCCACACGGCAGAGTCTGGCAAACTCCCCGCGGCGTAACCAATATGCCAAATACCAGTAACAATGATGGGTCTCATTCTCCTAAAGAGCCTTGAATATAATCTCAGGGTTAGGATGAAGGATACATTACTGGGGCCTGCTCGAGGCAATCGACGATTAACAGGATGATTTGTGATTTGTGATTTTGTGCTTTGTTAAGTTGTTAAAGTTAAGATGTAGGCATATATACTCCCATAGATGGCTGCTGAAGCACCGAATGTTTGAAACATATCTTTTTTTTTTTAATTTGGTTAAGAAATAAAATCTTATTTTACAGACCAGTACACAGAACAGCACTAGATAAAGATAAAAATAAAAATAATAAAATTCTCAAGGTTTCGCGACTTTATTTCTTTATAATTCTTTATAAAGAATTTATTCAAGAACTGATTGACTATAATTGAAATCACAGCTCTGCCTGGTAACTTCCCCTCTAAGTTCCCCAGTCCCTTTTTTTGCTTTTGCTTTTTCAGCCACACTCAGCCGTGCTCAGGGCTTTTTCCTGGCTCTGCACACAAAGATCACTCCTTGGAAGACTCAGGGGACCATACAGGGTAACAGGAATCCAACCCACTGTACTATCTCTCCAACCCAACTCCCCAGTTTTGACTCAGAAGGGAAATAGTACTCACCATCAGCATAAAGTCCTTTGGGATTATCGGGACAAGACCTAGACAGGTGCCCCATTTCCCCACAAACAAAACATTTTGCAAAAGGAAATTCACCTGTAAGGAATAAGGGTTGAGATGATTATTAGCCTGTCGAATCAGTTATGTGTGAGTCATGTAATTCATACTTTTTTAAATACTCCCAATAAAAAAAAAAACTGATTTTTCTTTCCTTTTTTGTTAATGGGGGAGGGGGAAGCTTAATACAATACTCAAGGCTTAATCCTGGATCTGTGATCAAGGATACTTCTGGCGGGCCTCAGGGGACCATATGTGGTGCGTGGGATCAAACTCAGGTCAGCCACATGCAAGACACGCACCTTATTCTCTGTACCATGGCTCCAGCCCAAAAGTGTATTTAACACAACTTAAAATTTAATCTCATGTAATTCAAAAATACTAAGTGGCTGAGGCAAGACATGCTCAGCAGTCAGGTCAGGAATACATGGCTTGCATGTGCAGGACCTGAGTTCAAACTACAATACCACATGCCACCATGTCCCCAGTGCCCTGCTCCTCACCGCTACCCAGCACACCTAACGGAACACCAGTCACACTGGACAAACAGCACAACTCATGGGCCCAACCACTGAACTATCTAGTACATTTGGCTGAGTATTAGTGGCAGTGGCCCCATGGTTCCCCGAAGTACTAGTTGGGTAGCCCCCAAACTAAAAGATAAAATTTATGTGACATATTCATAACAAACTGTCAACCAAAAAATAAAAACAAAACAAAGAAACAGTCATTACTTATTGGCCACTTTTCTTATTACCCAGACCAAACACATTAAACACACACACGCGCGCGCACGCGTACACACACACACAAACACACACACACACACACACACACACACACACACACACACACACCCCTACCTAGAGCTGGGTCGACTTTTGCTTTGCACTTGGTTATTTCATGCTCTGTGGACCCACACCGGTAACATATTCCTGTGCCCATATCTTGGTTCTCCAGGGCAGCTGGGCAATCTGCAATCCCATGGCCAGGTTGTCTACAATGGAAGCATACCTTAAAAAAAAAAAAAAAAGCATTTCCACAAGACAAGCCTACACTGGTTTTATCAATTACTGATACCAAAAAAAACTTAAAACACTTGTCATTTATCTAGCTATTTATCTCAGTACAATTTGTTGTCTATATAAAAAATAAGGAATTTTACACATTGCTGAACAATAAGTAGCAGCATTTCCATCAGAGGGTCTTGCAGTTTTTAAAAACTCAGTCTTCAGGTGGTGTTCCAGATCCAGTATGGTGCCAGTAATTGAACCTGGGTCAGCAACATGCAAGGCAGGTGCCTTATCGACTATACTATTGCTCCAGCTCTTGAATCATACTTCGATATTATAATTCAAAACATACCCTGGAGGGTTAGGGGGCACATCTGGCAGTGCTCACTGGACCAATGCAATGTCAGGGATAAAACTGGACCTCAAAATGAAAAGTGTGCCCTCAGCCCATTGAGCTATCTTACTAGTCCTCAAATTATACTTTTAAACATGAAGTATATTGTCATTACATATCTTTAATATTCAGATAGTTTTTGTTGGTTTTTTTAGCCTATGTACCCATACATTTGAAAAAATAATTTATGAGGAATAATGGTTTGTTTGCTTTACCTTACTGCTATGTAATATTACCTATAATTTGGTAGCCACTTGTTTGCTGCAATAAATGAGAGCACCAGCAAAGATGATATTAAACTATTTTACTTCATATAGAAAGATACAAATACTTCTTGAATAATGAGCAGTGCATCCTTCTTTGCACTTTCAAAATAAGCACAGGTTTTTTTAAAAATCAAGTTTAAGCACATAAAATAAGACATGTATTTGAAACTATGTCTTTTCTTTTTCCCTTGTTTAATAACATATTGGACGAAAGTTCCTTTGCTCTCCAGAAACTTTTACATTTAGAAATAATTGGTCCAAACAGAATGGGCATTAATTCTACAAGTTCAGAAAAAGGTACTGCTATCAAACGGATCACCACCATAGCAAGTCTTGAGTTTCTAAGAGAGTCTTAAGTAACTTGACAATCAAAAACTAATCTTTAAGGACTAGGGATGTGCCTTTAAAGGTAGTGCACTGTGTTTGAGGCTCTGGGTTCAATCTTAGCATCCCTTTCCAACTCCGTCTCCATCTCCACCATACCTTCCCAGGCCCCACACACCACTTCCCTACTGAACTCTCTGCACCGCCAACACACTACCTTGGCCATCAACATCAGATGTGGCCCCACAGTTATAAAAGAAAACACACAAATGTCCAAATACAAATGTCTTGAATAAAATTTTTTGTTAAAAAAATGGTAAAAATTTCTTGAATGACACTTAAACTTAGCGCATATATAATGAGAATGTGGAGAACATATTTAGCAAACCTCAATCACTGTCACTGTTCTCCCATTGTTCACCGATTTTCTCGAGCAGGCCCAGTAATGTCTCCATCATGAGACTTTGTTGTTACTGTGTTTGGCATATCGAATACATCATGGGGAGCTTGCCAGGCTTTGCTGTGCGAACTCGGGTTGGCCATGTTGGCCGCTTGCAAGACAAATGCCCTACCCGCTGTGCTATCACTCCAGCCCAGCAAACCTCAATATCTTAATAAAAATGACCTGAAAGTAAGTGACATATGAGCTATGTGTTAAAGTATGTTAACAGAAAATATCCCTTTAAGAAAAAGCCTCTTAATTACAACATAAACCTTTCTTCAAAAGGTTATAATATTCTTTTTCAAATAGTCTGCAATTCACCGCACTACTTGTGTGAATAAAATTAACTTTATTTAATTTGTTTGAACTTTTAGTTAACCTGTTTTAAATTGTACGATTTAAACAAAGCTATACCCTGATATAAACAAATCATTATCTTTTCTATTCTAATTTATCCACAAGGAATGTTTCCCCATATAACCTCTAAAAAAATCTTAAAAAAAAATAATTATCTAGAAATGTGACGCTGCACAGAATGAATCCTGTAAGCTGAAATCACATTTAAGAAGGCTAGACCCACTCAAGCCTGTATATTTAGTAATTATATTACTATTATTAAGTGAGAAGGCACAGCATAGATAGTACAGGGGTAAGGCACTTGCCTTGCATGTCACTGACCCTACTGCAATCACCAGCACAGCATAGGGTCCCCAGAGCAACACTGGGTGTGACCTTCCCAAGATATAAAAAAGAGAAAGGGAGCCAGAGAGATAATATGACACTTGCTTGCATGCAGTTGCTTTGTCAGACCTTGGTTGGATTCCAGGAACCAAGCCAGGATTAGCCTCTGAGCACTGCTGGCTGTGGTCCAAACACCCTACCTCCCAAAACAAAATCAAATTTTAAAATATTCAAAATAAAAAAGTGAAATAATTCGCTCCAAATCCTGATTCTTAAGTAGTTTGGAAACTTTCGAAATTCTTGTAGAGCAGAGAAAGACTTCCACTAATTCATTTCTTGTATCTGCTAGTTCCTATCTTGGGCTCAGCACCAGGGAAGTTAAACCTGCCACCTTTACCATTCCTCTGAGTGCAATGCAGGAAGACAGGGAGCAAAAGGTAGGAAGAATCTCAAGCTTAGACTCTGCTCTGACTCTAACTGGTGTGACTTTATTAGATCTCTTTACTGTACCTCAGTTTTTTTGTGGAGAAAAAAACATCTAAGTGAACAGATATCATACATATCTAACCTGTTGTACTTAACCTTCCTTCTAATTTTGATATTTTCTTAAGCAGTTGGGGCTGGAGCAATAGCACAGCAGGTAGGGTGTTTGCCTTGCACGTGGCCGACCAGGCCCACCAGAGTTCGATTCCTCTGCCCCTCTTGGAGAGCCCGGCAAGCTATGGCGAGTATCCCGCCCCCACAGCAAAGCCTGGCAAGCTACCCATGACGTATTCGATATGCCAAACACAGTAATAACAAGTCTCACAATGGAGAAGTTACTGGGCCCACTTGAGCAAATCAATGAACAACAGAGGACAGTGCTACATTGCTTAAGAAGTTGTTTAAAAATACACTACTGCAAGGCAGGGGTGAGAACAGGTTTTGAATTTCATTTCTGTTCCCAGCTAAGTAATTTTGAGCATTATATTTAATCTGCCAGCACTTCAGTGTATTCTAGTCAAAATCTTTGTAGTGTTGTGCTAATTGACCAGTACAAGTGATTATCATATAGCAAGTGCTAAAGGAATCTTAGTGTTATTACTAGCCCTCAAAATGATGCTCTATACAGTAAAAAAAAACAATCAGTCCCTACTAAAACATGTTTTTGAAAATGTACATTTCTAGATGCCCTGTTTTGGTGAAAGTGATGGCCTTACCATTGCATTTTTCTTTGCTGCTTGCCTTTTTAATCGTCTTCCTTCCCGACGATTATCTTTCTTTAAAGCAACTGCTATTTCTTCTCTTACTTCCTGACTGTCTGTTGCTATTATTGCATTGTGAGACATCTGTGAGTTTTGTCTTAGGTATTCCATGAATCCATTCACATCTTCATTTAAGTACTCCTTTTTCTTCTTGTTCTTTTTGTGTTTTGCTTGGGGTGTACCCTTTTTAAGCGACAGCTTATTAACTTCATGTTGACGCTTTGGTAGGTTTTGGCTTTTCCCCTCAAAGGCTCCTTTCTTCAAATCCTCCCACGATGTGGCAGAGAAAGGTCTCTTGTTTTGGGTCGTAGTAACTCGGGCCCACCTGGTCATGGTTTCATCCTAATTATTAATCTTTAAGACAAGTATGGTTGATAAACATCCTTTAAAAACAAAACACTAGAATTATATGCTATATCACATTTGCTCATCTATATGTTAAAGTTATATATTATGATTAGGCACTTTTTAAACCTCACTTAGATGCATATATATAATTCAATCATATTCTGCAGAGACATGTTAGTATGCAAATCTAGTCCTTACCAAAGATGCCTGCCAAGTAAACAGAACACACATACAAGTGCTTGCTTAAAGTTGGAAACAATTCACTAAGAACCCAAATTCAAATTTTTCCAAATCACAGAATACTGCAAACCACAAACTATTACAAAGTGAACAAAGTGACTGTCCACAGTCTGAAGTTTTCCGGCCATTTATTTCCCTGTCACTAGGCTCTTGAGAGACTTGCTTCCAGTTGCCTTGCTAAGTTGCCCATTGCAACGCAAGTGATGTGCAAAGCAAAATTAGTGAGTCTACATCAACCCTGTCCTTTGAAGTGTGTCCTTAACCGTCCCAGGCAGATAACATACAACACACACATACACAGTCTGTCTGTCTGTCTGTCTCTCTCTCTCTCTCACACACACACACACACACACTGCTGCTGCTATAAAGTGATAGGGGAATGATCTCTCTTGCTAATTAGGGTATGAGAGACACCAAACCCAAAGCTGTCAAATCCTGGGTGACTGGCCCACCTTTGGACAGGTCAGGGTACCAGAACCAGGCTCCGGCCGCGGGAGACTGCTGGGCAGCCGAGCCCACGACCACTAGAGCAGATTCACTGCTAATGCAATCTCCGTCGGGGGCGGGAGCTGGTGGAAGGGGGAAGTCCTGGCTATCAACCCTGCACCGATGACCTGGTGGGGACTCCCAGCCGAGCGCTGATAGGAGCAGGCAGCGCGGACACAGACCGGTCCCCGCACTCGCGCTCAGGCGGCCCGGAACCCAGCATCCCAGCCCCACCAGGTGTCAGAGGCGACCCCTCTACCCGCCCCGAGGAACCAGAGAAAACGCCGGGGGCTCAGGTTCCTCCGCCGCCCGCAGCTTCTTACCAGGAAGAATCCTCCAGAGCAGCGGAGTTGGTCAGCCAGAGAAGCCCGGAGCACACGCAGCGTCGCGGGCGCTTGCGGCCGGAAGCTCGGCGTCCCCGAGAACACGTCACTTCCGGTGAGCCCAGCTGGCGCGGGATAAAGGGCGTTTACTGTGGGTCCTAGGGCCCCTTCCGAGGTCCGTGCATGTGGCTGAGACGTTGTTGATGGGGCGCGGGTATTTGAAGGTGCTGTCTGGGCGTGAGGACCCAGCGAAGAGGAATGCTCCATCCATGCGGCCTAGAATTTATCATTTAGTGAGCAAGACGGATGGGAGGGTAGAGAGGGTGAAGTCACTGGATGGGTTTCCCTGAGAAGGTGACCATTGAATTGAACTTTGAAAATGAAAACAAGGTCAAGTTGGCCATGGAGGGGGACGAGGGCTTTCCAGGTAGGTGTGATGTAAAAAGTATTGGGGCAGAGGGAGTGAATCGCAGGGAGATACAGTTTAGGACTCTCTGTTGGAGAAAAGGAATCCCTCGTATGTGGTTACTGGAAATGTAAACTGGATGCTGCCACTCGAGGAAAGTGTGGAGATTCTCACCAAAAAGTTTATGCTACGAATGCATATGCCTTAGCAATTTCTTTTCTGGGTGTGTATCCAAAGAATATGGGAACCACTAATTAGACGCTGGAAGAGATAGCGGAGAGGCATGCTTGCCTGGCACGAAGCCAACCCTTTGCCAACCCTTTTTCATCACACACGGTCTCCTGAACACTGCCAGTAGTGATCCCTGAGCTCCACAAGGTGTAGCCCCCAAACCAAAAAGGAAACACTGCCATTCCTCTGTTCACAATAGCCAAGATGTGGAAACAATATAAGTGCCCGTGGAAGCATTGACGAATTAAGGAGAGTATTATATATAATATATATATATATATATATATATATATATCATAGACTGGGATACTGATCAGCAAGAAAAAGTTAACAGAAACAGGCCCTTGTGACGTGATTTATTAATTTCACTTGATATAATGCCCTCTTAGAAACTAGAGGATATTATGCCAAATGAAATTAATAAACGCCTACATGCATTATGTATATAGATATATTAGTATCTTAGATACTAAGCAAGCAAGACTACGTCAAACAGATTCGGTGGTTATCTGAGGAAAAGGGATTCTGTGGAGGTGAAATGGATTGTAGGGTTCATCTGAAATTCGTTATAATTTGATTGTTTAAAAATAATCATTTGGGATCTTATCGGGCCATGGTTCATGGTCCCCAGCCAATGCTAGTCAAACACTGAATTGAATTATCACATAAAAAGTTATGGTTTTAAGACGAATACCCAAGTCTAAGCAGCTCAGTCTCAGGACCCCTCAGGTGAAACAGGTAAAAAGTTGGCATTGCTGAAGTCATTCAGTTCACCAGTATCACATTCCCATACCATCCTCATGCTTGATTCCTTTACCTCTTATATGTCTGTTCACGCTGTCATTGCTAGTTCCAGCACCCTTATACTTCCTTGAATCTCTTTTCTATGCCTTAGCCAAGTGAAATTTTGTAAACATTATTGTCTTACTTTCCTTTCTTCCATGGTTTTCCACTGTTATGAGGATGAAGTCCCAACTCCATGCTAAGGTTTATTAAGGCCCTACTTCTCTGACCTTACAAAATCTCCCTACTTCTTTGAGTTCTGTGCACAGGTGTCTTTTTACGGCCTCTCAGGTGCTACATGTACCCTACTATCTCCAGCCTTTTCATATACTATTCATATACAATAATTTTCCATATGCCATTCACATCTATCCCTTCAAGACTTCTAGCAGTTTATTTTTATGTAAATCTTTCAAAGTCTTTCCCCACAAAATAGTAGATTATTCATGGGAGACTATCTTCCTCATTGGCAGGCTTTTGCTTGTTTTTAGATTTGAAATTGGATAATGTTTATTGAATACCTGCTGCCTGGCATGTAGTTGTACTCAACATTTTCATTTGCAAAATAAAGAGTAAGAACTTTGCAATTCCTGTTGAAGCAGGTAATGTAAGAGAGAAGACAAAGTCATTCTCTGAATTTAACAAGTCTGTTGGTAGCGTTTTCCAACAGAATGAGCTAGTTTTGTATTTATGTCGCAGTTAAGATGCATATATTGCTTTTTTTTTTAGACATAATAGACTCTAGTACTTTGTAAATAGAGCCCTTTGCATGCATCAGGAAACTAAAAACATTTACATGACTCACTTTATTGACACATTTGCTTCATTGAAGTGGTCTGGAACCAAACTCAAAATATGACATTGAACATATAGGTGCAAATGTCATTTCTACTGTGCTTTTTTGCACTCTCAGGATATAATCCAAGAAGCGGGCTTGCTGGATCATATGGAAGCTCAATTTTTAGGTTTTTTTTTTTTTCTTTTTGGATCACACCCGGTGATGCACAGGGGTTACTGCTGGCTCTTCACTCGGGAATCACTCCTTGCAGTGCACAGGGGACCATATGGGATGCTGGAGATCGAACTCGAGTCGTCCGCGTGCAAGGCAAATACACACCCGCTGTGCTATCGCTCCAGCCCCTCAATTTCTAGTTTTTTAAAGAACTCCCATATTGTTTTCCAAAAAAGGCTGGACCAGTCAGCATTCCCACCAATAATCAAAGAGAGTCTCTTTCTCCCCACATCCCTTACAAGAACAGCACTGATTGTTCTTGTTCTTTTTAATGTGTGCCAGTCTCTGTGGTGTGAGATAATATCTCATTGTTGTTTTGATTTGCTTCTCCCTGGTTTTTATCGATCCCAAGTGCCTGAGAACAGATGACTGGTTAAAGAAACTTTGGTACACATACACAATGGAATACTCTGCAGCTGTTAGGAAAGATGAAGTCATGAAATTTGCTTATAAGTGGATGGTTATGGAGAGTATCATGCTAAGTAAAATGAGAGAGGAACAGACATAGAATGACTGCACTCATTTGTGGAATGTAAAATAACATAATATGAGCCTGACACCTAAGGACAGTAGAGACAAGGGCCTGGAATATTGCTCCATGGCTGGAAATCTGCCTCATGAACTGGGGGAGAAAGCAGCTGGAATGGAGATGGTATCACTAAGTCAATGATGATTGGAGGGATCGTTCGGGATGGGAGATGTGTGCTGAAAGTAGATCAAGGACCAAATGTGATAGCCTCTCAGTATCTGTATTGCAAACCATAATGCCCAAAAGTAGAGAGAGAGTATGGGGGAAATTGTCTACCATAGAGGCAGGGAAAAGGGTGTAATACCGGGGACATTGGTGGTGGGAGATGTGCACTGGTGGAGGGATGGGTGTTCAATCATTATATGACTGAAACTCAAATATGAAAGCTTTGTAATTGTATCTCACGGTGATTCAATAAAATATATATACATATATATTTATATGACACATGTCTCTATTAGGTTTTGGCATTACTAGGTATTATGGTAATAGGTAAAGGTAAAGGCCCTCCCGTTGATCGTCGATTTGCTCGAGCAGGCCCAGTAACGTCTCCATTGGAGACTTTGTTGTTACTGTGTCTGGCATATCGAATACTCTCGGTAGCTTGCCGGGCTCTCCGAGAGGGGCGGAGGAATCGAACTCGGGTCGGCCATGCTGGCCGCGTGTAAGGCGAACGCCCTACCCGCTGTGCTATCGCTCCAGCCCTACGGGGCCAGTGGCGCAATGGATAACGCGTCTGACTACGGATCAGAAGATTATGGTAATGAAGGTTTAAAAGAAAAAATCCTCTAGCTCCTAAAGAAAGCAAATTTTCTAAAAGATATGAAAGTGTTCCTTATACCAGAATATTCTCACCAGCTCACTGCAGGTTCAAAGTCTCAACCTACTTGATAGGTTTTTCTGTTGTAGAAGCTAGGTATCTGAACATCGTCTGTACCACTAGAGGGTGCATTCAACTAAAACTTGTCTTTCAAGTATTATGCTGAAATTTAAATTGAAAGCTATTCATCCCTAGAAGTGAAGGAACATGATGTCAGTTTGCTTTTGTAGAGGTGCACACACACAAAAAAATCAAATAAATTGCTCATAAAAATCTTTTGGGATTCGGAGAAAAACACTATTATTTTTACTAAGGGCTTTCACCAAACATTAAAGTGCTTTGTGCAGAATGCTTTACATTCAATACTTGATCTATTTACCTAGTATCCTAAGAAGCAGAAACTATTGTTTTCATCTCACTTACTATAGTATGGGATGACACCTGGTAGTTCTTGGTACTGGCTTCTTTTTGTGTTTTTTTGGTAGGGAGGGTGCTCTGGAGACCTGGGGTCCCCTCCCAGAGTCTCAGTTGGTGGCATGTGTGGGGTGTGCAATGGGAGGGCTTGAGAATGTGGTTCTGAGTAAGCTCTGCAATGCTTGGGAGTACCCTGGCTACCCTGAAAATGCTTGGGGTATCAGAGCCACACACAACAGTTCTCAAAGTCCTCCAAGGCTGCATCTGGCAATGCTTGGGAGATCATGTGGTGCCAGAGATTGAACCTAGGTCAGCTGCATGCAAGGCATGTGCCCTAAACCTTGTACTATGTCTTGTCCCCTTTTTCTTCATTGAACATTTTACTCATGTTCTTTAATAGGGATGCGTTACATAAAGATTCATTATTATTACAGAGTTTTGTGACCTATGAAGGATGAGGTAGCATATAAGAATTTCAAATTACATGTAGATTAATTGACAGAATACAGCCTTCCAAATCCTACGTTCTTGTTTGACAGATCAGCAAATAAAGTGTCAGAGAAGTCAAATGATTGCCATAGAGCAGACACTGCTACTGATTTAGTTCTTATTTCATATTTTAGACATTTAATGTTTTCTTATTCCAACAGTTTTATTACTGACATGGAAATGGTCCTTCCTCTATTCCCTTTTTATTTTTCACTTGCATTGTTGTATTTCTAATTCAATAACAGTTACAAGCAGTAACTGTTTTATTCAGATGTGAAAGAAAATGGAATCTAAAGTGTCTAACAAGAGAAACTTAAGTGTAAGTTTCTTAAAGTTGCTAAGTAATATGGAATAGGAATAATATGAAGTTTATATTCTGTCTAAGAAAATATAC